CACGAGTAATGTCTTGAGGGTCAAGTCCGATGAGATCAGGTTGGAGCTAGAAAGATAACCACATTATGCATCGAAAAGTCAAAAGTTCACTGCTAAGAAAGTGTGGGTCTAAATTACTTTGTCAAGGAGCTGTTTCACTTCTCTCTCCCTGCGTTGTTTCTTCGTCTCATACGGGTTCGCATGTATGGCATCAACGTTAGCCTCCCCGGACCCTGTAAAAGGACTCGAACATTATCGGAAGAAATGAGTACTTGCAAGAGAAAAGGAACCAACCTGGAACCAGCATACTTGTGAATCCGCCGCCGTGACCAACACCAAGGACATCTTCATATGGAACAAAGGCTAAATCTGTAGCCGGACCACCACAACGATTGACGAGGTAGGGTTCATGACAAATACCGAGATGCATGTCTTTGAATATCTGAAAAGGGCGTAATGCGACCTGAAGGATCAACGCCTTGTGAATTTCGTGGTTGCGTTTCTGGTCTTCACATGGAGTAACTGCAAAAAACACTTACCTGCACAGTATTACCTACGGCGCATGCCACAGCTAAACGTTGACTGATAGCTACATTTGAAAGTCCGAATGGGAGGGAAAACGCATGTAATTGTTTATACATTCGTACATCCCATACCCTAAACAAATAACCATGAAGTTTCTAAGCTGCACTTGAACTCCCTCTTGATTACCTGCACTTTCGATCGAGCCCTGTCGTCACCATATACTTGCCCGTCTGATCTATATCCATACCTCGTATAGAAGATTGATGTGCCAGCATTTTTACTAATGGTTCTTTCACATTAGGTGACCACAAACAAACAGTACCTGAAAGTGAAAACCTGCTCAATACCTTCCCAGCCACGTCTTTATCATCATGAAGAAGAATCATTTCGGGACAGTCGAAAAGGCAGGCATGAGGTTTGATTTGCACGTGGACAGTGTAACCCTCTGAGACATAAAACTTTCGAACAATAAAGAGCAGTTCTTTTCTACAGTAAATTGAAGCTTTCGAACCTCATTTTCGGCAAAAGGATGGAGTAGAAGCAAGCTACTCAAGATACAGATAGAAGTTAGATGGTGCTTATGGTGCTTATTGAAGCAGTAAGAAACATAATGTTATCTACGAACGTTCTTCTACAGATAGTGCACCACTGTTTTCTTTAAGATAACTTCACAGAAGACATACCTGAGTCCACTCAGACTCGTTGAGTTAGAGCAAGGGAATGAAAAAGAATCATTGAAGCGCCACTTGATCCTATGTATAAGCGCGGGGAAGTGATGTAGCATGTGGCAGAAGTCGCACTACATGCATGGCTAGGATTCGAACCCGCCTAAGCCTACAAAGTCTTGAAGCCCTCCATTTAAATGGTACCAGACCCCTTTTGGAGACCAGAACCACTGACTTTTACATCGGTTGAACACCGCAAGTCTGGTACGGGGCACATGCGCCTCCAGTACGCCACAGCGTTTCTGAATGGAATTCGAATGCGAAGGTATATCTCTCAGGCGGGATTGGTTAACGCCAGAAGACTTCATCTTTGAGAGATTCAGACAAGTTTGGAATGGGAGAAATGAGCAAAGGAAATATGTAGAAGTGAGTCAGGAATCCGAAAAAATAATAATTTAGGCTATTGAAGAAAGAGTGGTCAAATTTAAATAGTACGTGGGGGCTGTGTAAAAAAAGACCATAGAAAGAGGTGAAATAGCAAAAATTTTGAGCTTCCCGGAAGCAGCATAAGCGGAGACTAAGGCTTATTCTGCAACCAAGATAGCCTACCGCTATCGTGTCCTGTATGGATGATAGCATTGCCGGGATTTTGACACATAACATCGAGTGAACCCATGCGGGCTGGAAACGACATCACCATTTTCCCTATGGAGACATCGAGCCAATGAAGCCATCCAGTGCCTGACTGAAAAAGATGGGATCAGGTGCATCAGTAGGACAATGTTCACAATACACATCGTTTTGTATATAGCTAACACTTACAGATCCCACTAAGAGGAAATGTCGGGGCAGAAATTCTAACCGACGGATTTCATGTAACTGTTTTACGCAATGCAGCTCCGTTCCCTGATTGTCGTACACGTACGTATAATGTCGCTGAGCAACAGCGTAAAGGTTTTCTGTGTGCAGCCACCTATAGGAAATGAAATCTGAGGAGACGACTAAAAAGGGAATTGGATTGCTGCGGAGACAAAAGAACAAAAACTCGACTTAAAACGCTTACTGAACATCGCGAACTGTCTCCATAACATTGATCTCACAATGAAGTTTCTTGGTTTGCCAATCTAATGCCGCTATATGGCCTTTCTTGCCACCTAACAAAAGATGACGCCCATTATCCGTGTAGCAGATTCGGTATGGTCCAAAATTTTCAAGGTGAAGTTCAAAGTACTGTAAAAAAAAAACTCACAAAAATCAAACACAATGGTACATCGCCATTTCGCGAAGAAGAAAACCAGCCTTGCTAGCATTGGCAATGTCCACGGCATCAGCGATTTCCTTTTGTCGAATTATGTATGTCGGCTCGCCTTCATCTCCTTCTATGAAACCTTCCTGGAAAAAGAGTTTGAGCACCGAGTAACGATTGACTGATTCTACTACTACTAATTTCGGAAAAAGGAAGCCAGACAAGTGAGCTTGCTTCATTTCGTTACTTTCAGCTGTAGAAAAAAACACCATTGAAGGTAGTAAAAAAAGAAACACCACTAAAGGCAGTGAAAAACATTAAAAAAAACTTATAACTTCTAAAAAACCGGAAGCAACACAAAATAGAAGATCGCAGCGCAACTTCCGTTGTAGCGTAACGGACCAGCGCGCTAACGACAGAAATCAGAAACAATGATCTGAGCGAAATAAGAGGAACACAATTTCTGGGTTTTTCCCTTTTACTAACCCTTTGCAAAAAGATCATGCTTGCTCAACAGATACGGAACAGAAATAATAGCACAGCCTATCATACGGAGCCAATCAGTCTACAAAAGTCGGTATTCTGAGATGCTGTGAAACCTTGTAGAGTCCTAAAATTGATACGTGGCCCATTCCAAATCTACTGAACTGAATAATAAAGAAAGCAGCTGAATAAGAGAAAAAGGTTCAAAAACTACTTTCAACGGAAATCAGAAGGGAGTTCATTTGGCGAGGAATTTGGTATAGGGTAAGGAAGTCTTCTGGACGTGTTTAAGGAAAAAATGGCGTTGTAGAGCTTCAACTTTTTACCCACAAAAGACCAGAAATAATAACAAAATCCAAAGATTAAGAGAAAGTATAGGAAACTAATTAAAGTTTTCAGAGCAGAAATGAAGATGCAGCGCAATACCAGGCACTTAACAGCTCAATAGGTCCGTTGTCTGAATCAAGTTTAAAAAATGGAAAGTAAACGACATAAGAAAGTAAACGATTATATAGGATCATAATGAAATCACAAGGGTGGCGAGTAATGGACAAAACCTCGACCTCGTTGTTATTTGCCAGGTAATTTGTATTTTCGTCGTATAAGACCCCACCTCTTCTCTATTTAGCAGCTCAGCCCGAGCCTTCTTCTCTGA